CCCCCCCACACCCCAACCGACGAGAACCCTGCAGTAAGTCACTTAGCTGATGTCTGTGCCGGCAGGGCGCGCTCCCGGCTCCTTGCTCCGTGGCGGCAGAGGCCACGGCTCAGCCTTCAGGGGCTGTTGGTCGTAGCCGCCCTGTGCGTCCGTCTCTGGGGATGCTGCAGAGAGACGTCTTCTCATCACCTGCCTCCCGTCGATGGGCCGGAGTCCGTGTGCGTCTCTAAGGATGTGGCTCTGCTACCGACCCTCCAGCCCTCTGGGTGGTGGCCAAGGCTTTAGGCTGGGTCCCGGCAGGGAGAAGGCTGGCTGATGTCGTAAGTTCTTTCCCCGTCCCTGGTGGCTGGGTCGGGTGCGGCCACGGCACTATGGAGGGGTGGGGCTCGGCGTTGCTGTCTGGGGCTCTGCTGGCATCCGGCAGGGCCTTGCTGCGGGAGCTGCAGGTTGCTCCTCTGGCCGGGCTGGGGGAGGGGAGGGAGCCTGGCAGCTCCGGTTCGGCCTGTTGGCCCCGGGGGGGAGCCTGGTGTGGATCTGGCGCGCTGGGCTGGGATGCCGTTGGCCTGGCACTGCTGGAGCTGCCAGTTCTCAGCCCTGATGCTCGTAGCGCTGGCGTTTCCCAAGCAGGGGCCCGGGCGTATCACGGCGAGTCCCAGAGCTCGTTGTCCTGCCCTCACGTGGAGATTGGGTCCGGCTGGCAAGCCGGCAGCGGGCAGGGCTTCCTAGCCGGGGGCAGCGACTGGCGTGTGTGCCCGGACCCGCTGCTGGCTGTGGTCACCACTCTGTGTATTCAGGGATCTCCTGGCAGAGTCGTCTCCGGTCTCAGCCAGCAGCTGGGCTCCCCCGGTGTGTCCTTGCCAGGCCTATCTGGCAGCCTTGCGTGGGCGCCGTATCTCTCCCCCACACTTGCTGCACTCCCGGGCCCCACGTCGCCGTCGTTTCCGGGGCGGCTCTCCCGCCCTGAGCTGCCCCAGCACCCGGTAGTAGACGCGGCAGCTGAAGCCTTCGCGCAGCCCCTGCTTCACATGCTGGGTCAGGGCCTCCAGGCTGGGGAAGACTCGGCAGCAGGCCAGGCAGCGCAGGCCCTGCTCGGGGGTGAGGAGCCACTCAGGGGGCGCTCCCATCGGCTGCTGCGGAGCCTCCTCCGCTGGTCCCCCAGCGTCGCTCTCTGCCTCGGGGTCCACGTCCCCCAGCTCAGGGTCCACGTCCCCCAGGTCGGACCTGCTGTGGGAGCTGCTCCGGTCCGACCCGACAAAACTTTCTCCTCCGCTGTAATTGGCCTTAAAGATGCGGGGGCGCTTCCTAATGGCTCCAAAGCCGGCCCCCGTCTCCCAGGCCACCGAGACGCCGTTCACGACCCTGACCTGCATGTAGAAAAGTGTCTTTTCTTCTCCCTCCCCCTCGGCCTCTCTGACACGTGCCGAGCGCTTTCTCTTCACGCCGGCGCCGGGTGGATCCCCTGGGGGCTGCGCACATAGGCGGTTGGAGGGCGCAGGCTGCACACCGCGGGCGGAGGAGTGGCTGGTGACGGATGTGGCCGGGGAGGTCTGCTGGCTTGGGTCCCTGGGGCCTGCAGAGGCAGAGACCCTCTCCTCCGCCGTTTCCCCAGGAATGGGGCTCCCAGCAGAGACCCCCTGACGAGGGGGCGACTCCCCTGATCTCTGCGACTCTGAAAGCAGAATGAAAGCCCAACTCTTGCGGCCATCGCCCCCAGCGGCGCATCCCCCTCCGGCTCCCAGCCCTGTGTCCCAGGCCCAAAGGTGCCCCCCATGGGTAAGGGAAAGGGGTGGGTAAGGGAACTCCCTGAGTACGAATATCAGGGGAGCGACCAGTCAGGGATCTGACACGCTGTGCCCAGGGAAGGACCACATCCCCCTCGCTTGGCACATTGGCAACTAGGTTGGACAGAGCCCTAGACAATGTCCTGTCGGTGCCGATGCTGCCCTGGCCTGGGGGGGATGGACACTCTGCCCCATTGGTCTGCCCCAGCCCTGACATCTGACCCTGGCATGGTTACCAGGAGCAGCCTGAGACCTGGCTGTGCCCATCTCCAAGGCCTCTGGCTTAGGCTCGTTACCCCAAGGGCCCAGGACTCTGCACTGGCGTCTCTACATGGAAGAGCCATTTTGTGCCCCCAGATATCTCCTCTTCATGGTGTCTCCTTCACCTCTGCAGGGGCGGGTGTCTGTGTCTCCCCCTTCCTCTTTTCCATTTAACCATTTAGAGGGCTCTGTCTCTCCCCACTTGCAGTCTGTTTCCCCCACTGTGCCCTGGTGGAGTTTCTGTTTCTCTCCCCCTCCCTCTCTGAGACCTCCCTGGGCCAGGCAGAGAGAGAATTCGAGTTCATCCTTGACCTAGGACCCCTGCCAGCCTCTCCCGCGAGTGTCCTGTGGGCCCAGGGAACGTCCTGCTCACCTGACCGCTCCTGGGCAGCTCCGGGATTCGTCTCTGGGGCGTCAGCAGGAAGCCCCTGGCTGTGCGCCATGGTCCTGGCTCTGGGGACTCGGGCCAAGGCTGGTGCCTGTCACAGTCCTCGAAACCTCCTGGATTATTTGTCACAGCACCAGCCAGAAGGTCTGGGTCTCTGCTGGGGAAGGGATGGCGGTTCTGGTCCAATTCTTCAGCTAAATCTCCAGATCTCACAGTGCAGGCAGCAGAGACAGGATCACGATTGACCTGAGCCAAGGGTTTGATCCAAGTGGCACCAGACGGTTGTGGTTTAAATTGTCCTGGAATGTTCTGGTCCCAACGGCATCAGGCTGTTTGGATCCAAACGGCTCAGAAGTTCTGAGCTGGGTGAGGTCATTGCCAGCTGGGGTGACACTGCTCAGTTCTGTGCGAGCTGCTCTCGGGTGCAGCTGACCCTCCTCGTGTCCCGTCCAGGGAGGGCCGAGTTAATGAGGTCCCAGCCAAACCACTCAGCTGGGTCTATGCTGCACAAGGCCCGGGCGGGCCCATCCGGGGTCCGATCAGGGAGGGTGGAGCCATAGCCTCTGGCTTTGTGCTGGCACAGACTGACGAGCAGGACCATTCATATTAATGTTGATTTGGGTTACGGTAGCGCCAAGAGGCCCAGTCAGGACCAGGGCCATTCCTGGGTGCTGCCCACACCAGAAGGGCTGCCAGTCTAAACAGACAAACAGAAATAGACAGCAAGTCTGACCCAGCACACTGTACACAGCCCGGCCCCAGCACAGAGCTCCTTTGAGATGCCTTCCCCAGCCCGTTTTAATCCTCCAAACCACCACTTCCCGCTGCCCAC